TTTGCCAAGGTGCCTAAGGGGTCTTGATGCCGTGTCAGGGTGGGGAGGGGTTGACGGGGGGGGGTCCTCTCTGCACACCTGCCCTCTCTCTTATTCCCTCTCCCTCCACCAACCTGAACAGCTCTGTTCTCTGTGTTTTCTTGCAGGGAGAGCTGTTGGGAGACTTAATTTATTAATGTCTATAAAGCCTTCAGGAATTTTTGAAGGTACCTTCCCTGCAGGGCACGTTCAGGAACAGGACTCTTACTAAACATGCAAAGAGAGATGCCAATATTGATTGCCCTAATGGGTTCTGGCAGAGAAAACACACTTAAAGTTAATTGTTTACTAAGAGCTTCGGAGCAGTGCAAGCACTGGCCAGACCTGGCACTTGCTCATGCACCTACTTGTTCCTCTTGACAGTTTGCTGTGGCAGCTGCTAGGATAAGCCCTGGAGCACCCTGAGGTTTTGATGCTTCTCATGCAAACTCAATGAAGGGTGCCTCCAGGCCGTGTGAAGAGAGGGAATGAAGAAGATTCACAGACGTTTTGCCCTCAGACATGTCTAGGGAGGTTTGCAACCTGCTGAGCACTGGACACCTGGGTTGCTGTACAGACATGTGCAAGAAGCACACAGACAAGCCATCCTGCTGCTACTTTTCCTTGGGCTTGTGATATTTGTGGGCAGGAAGCAGTTCATAGAAGACAATGGGTGCCCAAGAATGAGTCCAAGGTTCGAGTCTGCCTCCCTTGCTGCCTCATTTGTGACCTTGGGCAGCCGACTCCTCTTTTTAAGCCTGTAGTTTCTCATGTGTAAATGTCAATCAGGGGACAATGATTGTTCCTATATCATGGGGTTGAGGGGTTTAATTATTCATGGAAAATGATAAGCATGTGGTTAAGTGTCCGATTTAGCCATTTCATTATTTTTATCATTATTGACACATGGGAGAGGAATGATTCAACAAAGCCAAAGGGAATGTTCAAGAACAGCAAGAGCCCATTTGACAGTCTTGGTCTGGGAGTAATGCTTATCAAAATGAAACTAAAGCAGATGAAAGCACCTGCCTTGTTGATGCAAATTTTCGATCTTCTCAGGAACAGCATGAAGAATTTTTTTCCTTCAGATGCTAGAATGCATCAATCGAAAACTTTTCTCCTTAGAGAGATTCACCAGATGGAAGCGCTTTTCAAAGGAATTTCAAAATCTATATATGTAGCACAAACAGGGTCATGCGGAACCCTGTACCAGTTGTCATCACATACTTGATGGCCCTTAAGGCCCCATCAGCCTGAGTTCCACTGATATTTTATGAGCTATAGGGATCGCATTCAGAGCACATCTTGAAGGAAAATGTCACGAACTTATCTTTCCAGGGGCCAAAGCAGCAATCAAAGTATCAGCTCACAACTCTTGTGTTATATCCCTCATTCAAGCACATTCCTCTCTGCAGTCTACTTGCTCCTGGAGTTCCAGGAAGAAGTGTGAGCTCGCATCCCTGCTAAACCATGTGAACACACCTGTAATTTCACAGCTGCCTGCAGTTGCCACAGTAATGCAAATGTTTGTGTTGGCTTCTCCATGCAATCTGGAAATAGCAGCAAAATGTGGCAGAGTTGCTTCTGCGTACCAAAATAAAAGTTACAAGCCTGTGAAAACGAATCACTGTGACTTAATGAAATCTGTGGCCTACATGTGTGCTTGCTGAGAAAACTGAAGTTGGATGCCTCCTTTAAACAGAATGAAAGGGGAGACATGAGTGAATAAATGAATAATCGTTCATTTGCAATATTTATCATGGGTAGGAATCATGATTTCTAAAACTGTGGGGATTTTCTACTGAAGGGACTTGGTAAATTTACAAGTATAATTAAAGATTAAAGGTGATGTGTCTTCACAGGCAGAGCATTTTATACACACCTGCCCCATATTCTCTCATCAGATGCCTATCCTTTCGGAAACAGTAAAGAGCCTGGATCTGGACCCAGCTCTGCTGTTTCACTGCATAATCTTGGGTAGGTCACTACACTTCAGTTTACTCTCTGTAAAATAAGAATCATAATAATAGTGCCAATAATAGTGCTGCCATGAGGAATTCAGTAAGCTAATATTTCTGAAGTATTTACACCGTGTTTGGCAAATTCCTATAGAAATGTTAGCAGCTGCAACTACTATTATTATCATGATCATAATAATCATCAGATTCTCCTGCTACATTCGTCCTCCCTCCTCCAGGATGCCCTTAAGTTCCCTGCATCAGCAACACTGATGGGAATACTTTAAGGCTAGATATAGCCTCTTTAGAGAGTGGTTAGTTACAGCAACCCTTTAACCACTGACCTGGATTAACATTTTGGATGGACTGAAAGTCACCTTGAAAGGTAGAAAGTACATGCTCTGAGAGGCTAGGTTGGAAAACAAGGACAGTCCATTAAATGGAGAAGAGAGTCTTGTAGCAAGGGCCACCACAAGGGGCTAACATGTCACAGAGTCCTCTTAGGGCCATGTTTCTCAACTAAGAGTGATTTTGCCCCCCAGGCGACATTTGGCAACGGCGGAAGCTATTTTTGGTTGTCATAACTGGGAGACAGCTACCACAGGCACCTGGCAAGTAGAAGCCAGGGAGACTGCAAAACATTTAACAATGCACAGGACAGCCTCCCATAGCAAAGAATGATCCAGCTCAAATGTCAATAGTCTAAAGTTTAAAAACCCAGTGTTAGGATAAACCTTGGTTCCACAGGAGCTTCCACTTTAGGTTGCACATACTGTTAACTTCCAGGTACCCAAGAGCTAATCTGGTTTCCAAAGGTGACTGATCTGCTTCTAAACTGATTTGTGTAGGATGCTGCTCTGGTGATGCAGCAGTGATTTATTGCTAAGCACTCCCAACTCCCAGAGACAGATGCTGAGGAGCTGGCTTACTCCCCAAGCACCCATCCAGGTTTCATATTAGCACTGAGTAGGGAGTCATTGTCTTCAATATTTTTAGTTCACTCATTGAAATGTCCATATATACTAGGCTCCAAGCCTCTTTTTCTTTTCTTGATTTCAATAGGCTTTTGGGGAACAGGTGGTGTTTGGTTACATGAATAAGTTCCTTAGCAGTGATTTCTGAGATTTTGGTGCACCTATCCCCCAAGCAGTGTATCCAACCTGTGTTCTTTTATACCTCACCACCCTCAACCCTTTCCCCCAAGTCCCCAAAGTTCAAGGTATCATTTTTATTAGGCTCTAAGTCTTCAGAGATGGTTCTTCAAATTTAACCTGTCTAAAACATGTCCAATATATTCTTTTCCTTTCCCTTCTAAACATGTGACTGCCTCAAATCTCCCCCATCTCGGTACATGCCTTGTCCATCTTCTCCATCTCTCAAGCCAGAAGCCCAGTTGACATTCTCCATGTCTTCTTTCCTACCCATTCTATAATCCACAGGCAGATCCTATTGATGCCACTCCTAAATTCATCTTGAAAGTTTCCTCTTCCCTCCACTGCCACTGTCCTCCCCTGGCCACTGTAACAACTTTCTGAATAGCCTCCTCATTTTTAGTCTTGACAATTTCTAATTAATTCTCCACATAATGGTCTGAGTAATCATTCAAACAATAATAATTATAAGGCTATCACTTCTGACCTCCTTTGATGGTATCCCCCTAATGCTTCCAAAAAAATCCAAGCCCTTTCCTGTGGACTGAAAAAGGCTTCTCTCATGAGTTCTCAAAGAGTGGTCCCCAGACCGGCAGCAGCACCTGGAACTTGTTAGAAATGCAGATTCTCAGGCCCCACCCCAAACTTCCTGGATCAGAAACTCTGGAAGTGGGGCAGCAATCTGTTTTAACAAGCTCTTGGGGAAGCTGGGCTACATGCTCCAGGCTGAGAACTACTGCTTTATGTGCTCTGCCTCCTGCCTCTCTCCCCGCGACCCACCATTTCAGTCCACTCTTCTGATTATACTGCAGCCAAATGGGCTTCTTTCCAATTCCTTGAACATGCCAAGGGCTCTTCTACTTCAGGTCCTGGCATACGCTGTTCGCACTGCTGGGACACTTTTCCCATCTCTCTGGAGATGCCTCCTCTGACCACTTTTTCTACTGTAGCTTTCTGACCCACCTTCAATTCTTTGTGGCTACAATCACGGTTTTCTTCACAGCACTCCCCATCACTAGTTGTATTCTGTCTTTATTTTCTAGCTTACTTATTATTATCTTGTTTTTTCACTAGTCCATTAGCTCCCTGAGGCCAGGGCCCTGTCTGTTTTATTCATTAATGTATATGCTATGGAAACCACAGTGCTTGGTACATAGCAGATGACCAATAAATTAAAGGCCTGAATGAAGCAGCACCTTTAAGTCACTTCTAGTCTAATGCAGAAAGAGAAAATATGTGGCACAGAGCCCCCACCCTCAGCCTGGACTGAGACTGAGGCAGACATCAACACTTGATCTCCAGTTCATCCCTCTGAATCCTGGATATGGCCTCTGAATTTTTCACAACCCTCCACTCTAAGCGTCAGCTAAAAAAAAAAAAATAGTCAAAGTTGTTACAATGAAAGAAGTAAACCAATTTCCTAAATCATATTTTAATAGTTGCATACACACACACACACACACACACACACACACACACACACACACACACACACACACACACACACACACTGAGACAGAGCTTCACTCTGTCGCCCAGCGCCCAGGCTGGAGTGCAGTGGTATGATCTCAGCTCACGGCAACCTCCACCTACCTCTGCCTCCCAAGTTCAAGTGATTCTCCTGCCTCAGCCTCCCGAGTAGTTGGGATCACAGGCATAGGCCACCAAGCCCAGTTAATTATATATTTTTGAGACTGAGTTTTGCTCTGTGGCCCAGGCTGGAGTACAGTGAGCGATCTTGGCTCATTGCAACCTCTGCCTCCCAGGTTCAATAGTTTCTCCTGCCTCATTCTCTAGAGTACCTGGGATTATAGGCACCCAACACAACTGTGGCTAATTTTTGTATTTTTAGTAGAGACAGGGTTTTGCTATGTTGGCCAAGCTGGTCATGAACTCCCAGCCTCAAGGGATCCTCCCACCTCAGCCTCCCAAAATGCTGGGATTATAGACATTAGCCACCGCACCGGCCAGGTTGTTAGTATTATTTATGTATCAGACACTGCTAACATTTCACAAGCTTTAGTTCCCACGGCGTAACTGGCAGAGAGGTAACCTGAAGCCAGGCTGTCTGATCACAGAGCCTGAACTCAGGGTGAAGTCTTTTCACCATGGTGAGAATATATGTATTGGAGTTCAGCAGTGAGAGACTGAAGGTGGAGAACTTAACCCAGTTTAAGGTGGCAGAGGGTGCAATGGACTGAATGTTTAAGTCCCCTGAAAATTTGTATGCTGAAATCCTAACTCCCAAGATGATATTAGGAGGTCTGGCCTTTGGCAGGGATTAGGTCATGAGAGCACAGCCCTCACCAATAGGATTAGTACTCTTAGAAAAGACATAAGCCGCAGAGAGCTTCCTCCCCACTTCCACCACCTGAGGACACAGTGAGAAGCCGGCAGTCTGCAACCTGGAAGAGGGCCCTCACCAGAACCTGACCATGCTGGCATCCTGGTCTCGGCTTTTCCAGCCTCCAGAGAAATGAGAAACTGTGAGAAACTGTGTTTACAAGCCACCCACTCTATGGCATTTTGTTATAGCAGCCTGAACAGAATAAATCAGAAAAAAATCCTGGAGGAGTTCTGAAGCTTGACTGAGTCAGGCAGAGAAGTAGAGAAGCAAAGGCATGAACCCTTTACTCACACCTACTCTTTGCTGAAACGAGCTCTTGGGAAGAGGAGCGCTTTGGTTAAATGTACCACGTTCACAGGATGGTGTTTGGCTGAGCATATCCTATTCAGAGGTGATGCTACTGCCTACCGCTCGCCTCAGCAAATTCTTCAATAATAATCTTATTTTTTAAAAACTGGCAGCATATCTGAACTTGGTAAAGTTTATTCATATAAATGAATGGTTGGGTGTGGTGGGTAAAGCTTGAAGCGTCCCGTGGGGAAGGGGGCAGAGCTTTTTAAGTTATTTTTGTTCCCTGGATAAACTGATTCACCTCTCTTGGGTCAATAATCCCTTCATGTAATAGATTATGTTATTGTTGGAAGTATGCTATTCATGTGCAAAATATGATGCAGAAAACGTTTGGAAACCATAGACATAAATTACTAAAGTATTCTAATGAAAGTAAGTGTTTATACTAAATATCCTCTCTGAGTGTGATCCAAAGAAAATAGAAATCATTCTCAGTTGACTTGCAATAAAGGGAAATCTGCGGAGCTGGAATTTATAGCACAGCCTGCACTTCCATAGCAACAAACTGATGTCGCATACGGAACTCAGACTTTCCTGATGGGCCCAGGATTCAGCCTGGAGGAATATCATATGTTTAGCTAAGCGTAAAAGTGACTTAAAATTTAGAGAATGCTTTTCTTCAAAAGATTAATTTTACTTAATTTGATTTTGAGAGGAAGTGCTTAAAGCAAATAAGATGGTTCTGCTCCAATATTTTAACCAGAAATAGATGTAGAAATCTCATATAATTCACAAAATTGAGCTTGACATGATGCCATGTCTCCGTAAGTTTCTATGGAAAAAATACAGAATTCTCAATGCAGAGGGGAGACCATTTCATATCAGATTCAATGCCTTTCTATAAGAGTTCCTAAAGGATTATCCCCACATAAGCAGCATCAGAATCCCCTCAGAGGCTTGCTAAAAATCCAAATTTGGGTTTCACCCAGAACTACTGAATCAGTCTTTGAGGGCAGGGCTCCAGAATCTGAGATTTTAGTAAGTTTTCTAGAGAATTCTTATTTAGAAGCATTTATTGGTGGCATTTGAATAAAGAGACAAGATTTATTTATTATATGTGGGAACAGGTCATTCTTGAACATCACTGAAGCTTAATGAGAAATAACTGCAGAGCAGGCCCCTAGGTTATGAGGAGTATCCTAGAATGCAAAGAGAACATTTAAAACATCTGCAAATATTTGGAGGAAAGCAAAATGGTGTACTGTAGTAGTACTAGACTTCTGGGTTTCAAAATCCAGGAAATTTTAAAAATAGGGCAAGAGGATCAACATAAAGTTGGCTACATTTATTTTGCCAAAAGGGCACTTAAAAAAGCCTCACTAAATCTCACTCATTTCATAAGAGAGCATTTTTTTGCACCATAAAAGAAAAAAGCAAGAAAGCTATAATCCCATAATAAAAGACAATCCTTTACATGAACTATTGTAGGAATAAAGACAAGCCATTTGATGTGTCCTATTCATTTTCATGAATGGGGCACAGATACTTGGGAAGCTCTCAGGTAGTAGAGAGACCAAGGTTTTGGAAAGACAAAAAAGTTCATTCTAAGCTCTGCCTCTTGCTAGCTGTGTGACTGGGGCATCACTTACACAACCAATTAGTCTTGGTTTCCTTATCTATAAAATAAAGATAACCATCATCATGACTATTAATGACCCTCGAAGGATTAATCAACTGACATATAGAAGGGACTCAAAACATGTCCACATTCCCTGGTTTTGTCTTCTATGGATTTACAATCTACTAAGACTCTTGTTGGACTTGAGACAGAAAGACTTGAGACAAGACACTGCTTGAGATAAAAAGGAGGAAAAGTGGGACTGATTAACTGACTGTCCCCAGCATTTTACTTTCAGCTACTTTTCTCTTGCTTTAGATTCTGATGGAATTTCACATTAGACAGATTCTAAATACCTGGCTGTTACTATCTGAAATAGCAGTTCTATACCTAGTTTGTCGCAAAATGCACAGAGTACAAGTAAATCCTTGCTATGTGTGTTTGAAATGCTGTATAGGTCAGTTCTGCTTTTTCTGTTATGCCTATTTATGAAGTTATTTCCCCAAAGTAAATATAGGCCAGGTGATTACTTGTATAGAGTGCAGAGAAGTGTGTGTGTGTGTGTGTGTGTGAGAGAGAGAGAGAGAGAGAGAAGGAAGTGGAGGTTGAGAAGGTGGTTGCTCTGTTGTGCAGAGCAGAACTTGAAGGATGCCATCAATACTGTATTCTACGTGAATGATGTCCCATTGTTAATTGTGTCCCCAAGGTATTGTGCAAAATGGTAGACCTAAATGGAGGAAGGCATATAGATAAATATTACTCTACAAACAAAGCTCACACATGGCCCTCCAAGGAATTTAAGAAAATAACTTCACAGCTAACATTTTTTGAATGCTTACATGTCAAGCACTGGTGCTAAGCACTGTACATGTGTGGCCACATTTTATTCCTCACAAGAAAACTTTGATTATTATCCCCACTTTCCAGATGAAGAAACCAAGTCTTAAGTGAACACTTGCTCAAGATCACCCAGCTGATCAACGGCAGAGGCAGGATTTGAACTGAGATCTGTAGAAATTCAAAGTCCAAATTCTGTATCATTTTGCTAAACCACTTCTCCAGGTAAAAAAATAGAAATTAAAATAGACAAGAGAGATCTTGTTGAACACTCATGAGTGTTCAGAGGGGGTTGTTTTCACTTCTTTTCCTCCTCTCAAAAGGTGGATGACCAGCTTTGGCTCATATTCTGACTCTGTGAAGGTGGCAGGCAAAAGTTTTGTGGAATAAATCATTCGTCAGTCCCTACAGCAATCACGTCTCTGTTTTACTGGTGCAGGGGACTCTCGGTGTTTGAGGTCCTTTCAGAATAAGTTGGTCATTGATTTCCTAAAGGAATGACCTCTCTTCTTCAAGAGGTAATCGCATATGCCCTGCTGAACTGGACAGAAAGCGGTAGCCAAACGTCCTGTCGTCAAGCCTCCTTCAAGATAACTCTGGTGAGTGGTTATTTTGGAAGTGGCTCTAATCTGTCATGTTACACGGCTTTGCTAAGACTCACTTTATTAGCTACCACCAAGAGCTAATAAAACATGTCAGGAAGTCTCTGTAAGCTGTAATAACATTTTCAAAGGTCACTGCCAACAATCCAGACTTCAATGACTTTTTGAAGGAAAAGAAAAAACAAAAGCAGAGGCCTAGAGTTCTAAAACAGAATGACCAAAAGAAACGATCCCAAGTGAGCTGTAAAGACTGACAAACCCACACTATACCAGCCACTGGATAAACTGTGTCCACATGGAGCCTTGAAGAAAAGGTACAAAAGCCACAAAATGCCAGTGGGTAGGCAGCAAATTTAGATTTGGTGTATAGGAACCTGACAGTCACACCTACTTACGCTTCCAGCGCCCACAATGGACTCCTTTATAAACAATGGCGGAGGTGGCAGAGAAGTAATTAACTTTAGATTAACCACAGCACAGCAGCCATTTTTCTTAATGACTGACTTCTCTTTCTATTGTAAAAGTAAACATACTTTTTAGTAAAAAGTAGTAAAACACAGAAAAGGAGAAAATCATGTTATCTGGAAAGCTGGGAGTATCGTTTGATGCCCACTGTATGTTTCATGTATTGAGAGTCATGCTTTGACAGTGGGATGTCTCAAGATAAGTGGCTGCCATCCAGCAGCTCTATTAGAGTGGAAATATTATATTAATCACTGAGATTTCCATTCACTGCTGATGAGACGTCCAGGCGCAGAAGAGACAATAACATTTTTATCTTGGCTTAGGATAAGAAATTTAGACATGAAATCTGTACTTTGTTTTGGGGTGGAGAAAAGGTCATCTGTGGAGCCACTAAGTCGGGATGTCTTGTTGGAGAAGCGTTGAAAGACCGCTGAAGCGGGGAGATACTGGTCAAAGGGCACAAAGTTTCAGAAAGTTCTGAAGATCCATTATACACTGTGGTGCACATAGTTAATGCGTATACTGTATTGTGTACTTGTAAAGTGCTAAGAGACTAGATTGTAAATGCTCTCACCACAAAAAACGATATGAGTTGTTAAGTGTTCATTAGCTTGTTTTAATCATTCCACAATGTATACATACATCAAAGCATCATGTTGTACAGCATAAATATATATACTTTTTATAAATAGATTTTTTTTTTTAAATAGACTGTCGATAGGTCAGTATGCCCCAGACAGAGACAGGCAAGTTCTGTCCTGCTTTGGAACAGTTGCTGGCCTGCTCACTGATTGTGAATGGCTGTTTTTAA